TTGGAAACTGCAGGCATGGAGCAGGCTTGAAGCAAGCGTGGCAATGGCAACTGGAAAGCACGTCGTGTCGCCGGTGGTGAGGCGGGCAGGCTGCAGGAGCCATTGTACCTATCCCCTGTTTCCTCGTTTCCTTAGTCAGACCGATCGGTCTCGTTGATTTTTTTCTCCCTCACGGTTCCCCATGTCAAAATAGGAGAAAGCTGAGCTGGCAGAGAAGCAATCCACATGGAAGCATTCCATCCAATCGTCTGCAACAATCCCTCTTCCTGGTCTCCCGGCTTCCCGCTCTTGGGGCCCCGAAGCTTGCGGAATCGCATCCTAGCCTGAAAGGCCTCCTCGTCGAAGACTTTGGTACCGCCGGCTCGCTCCATCTGGGAAACATCCTCAGCTATGCGTGTCTGATGGTCCAAGTGGAAGAAGGCCTGGCAGCATTCAGGTTGCTCGCAAACGCCTCAGTGTAACAGAGCTGGCAGCTTCCCAGACCGGCCTCGCCGCCCTGGGTTTTAGATGCTGCCGGTACGAGTAAGGACGATGTGACGTCTGTTCTGAAGATACTTGGAGTTGGGTACGGAGTACTTTCTTCGAGATGACAACATCGCCTCTCAGCCACCATCCGGGCTTGCTGCGTGTGTCTGGCCAGAGTCCAGTCCCGACCAGCCAACTCAGCGCTCCAGCTGGATTGACAAAAGTCAATCGCTTCAGGTGCGACGTCGATACGCTGAGCATGCTATCAAAAGGAGAGCCGCATCAAAAACTATTATATGTACCCAAGGAGGCGAAAACGCATCCCTCTCCCTTATCAAGGATGGCGAAATTTTATATTGGCTGTCGTGGGCCGTATCCATAGATCTGCCCCGTCATTTCCAAACGGCGCTTCTGTCGAGCCTGTACGAATCGAATCAAATGTAAACAAAGCTGTTCTCAGAACCCTGACCCGAGAGCCGCTTGCCCAGCCTTGGGCATGTGAGTGTCCCATTTGAGGTCCTGGACTGCTCAGTACGGATGCTACTGTACACAAGTATGTCACTCTCTTCGCCTAGTCTGCGGAGAGGGTACGCGTACGAAAAAGTTTGAGAAGAGGATGCGCACTGGGAGACCTGCCAGATTCGCTGAATTGACCCGAAGCAAGCGAAGGCCTTGACTCGGCCGGGCCAGGCATGCCCCTGGATTCTGGAGCCAGTGAATTGCGTCTCTTTCTTTTTTTTAAGCTCGGCTGTCTGGAACGGCGGATGCAGTTCGATTGGCGGATTGCGAATTGCGAATGAGCATTAGCGGCGGCGGCTCAAAGGAGCTGACAAGCGCACAAGCAAGAGATCCCCCAAGCTTACTGTCTATGTACAGTACGGAGTAGACAGTAGAAGTGTCCGGCTCAGTTGACCAAGCTGGGCGGCTTGGCACCGGGACATGGAGGCAATGTTCGGGATGAAGGGGGGTTTTGATGCCACGGGGCCGGATGAGATATCCGTCGGTAATGTCTGGTTGCTATGGCAGGCTGGAGATGGCTTCTAGGCCTCAGGTTCCCCGTCAGGTAACAGAAGCAGCGAGGGTACGACTTCGTAGTGATGCTTTACCATACCATGGCCATATCGCGGATGCTAATGACGATGGTATGGAACAAGAGAGATGGGATAGCTCGAGTGATCCCCAGATGAACAACGAGGCTTGGAATGAAATCTCATTAGAACAAGGGCCAGGCCGCCCACCCCGTATGCTCTTCCACACCCTTTGCCTAGCCCAAGTCGGGCACCTTGATGCCATCGACTCTGCCGATGTGGTGCTAGACACACACGTATGCATGCCCCTATTGCTTGCAATACCGTAGCCAATATTGGGAGCATCGCAATGAGATCTCGAGTCTGGGGCTCTGGCTTTCAGTGACAGACTCTCCCCAGAGTTCCTGGCTAGTGAGCACTAACGACCTGAAGTCTGGCGGACGATGCTGCCGTCCAGCTTCCCGACGACAAGCATAGTAAGAAACATTGGCCGCGGAGTCCCCGTGCAAATCTCGGGGTGAACCGGTATCTCAATTCCATGGCAAACTAGCGCTTCGGCCTGAGGCCACAGAATTTGGCCTGAGTTGCCGGGCCAAAGAAAAACTTCGCCTTTGCTGCTGCATCTTCCCACAGTGAAGTTGGGGGTTGGAGCAGCGGAAGGGGGCGACCCACCCGCGCCTGCCCAGTGCCACAGTGCCCACCCATGGAAGGAAGGGAAAGAGGACACCTGCACCAGAGCCACCCAGTGCACTTTCCCTACCAAGTCTGGAGGGCCAGCAAAGAGAAGGAGGAGGGACCCACTCTTGTCCACTTCTCACGCACCCTGAGCCCGGCCTGGGGTGGTCGGTGCTCCTTTCTTAGCGCGGCCCGGAAAGATTCGCTCAAAAGCTGTTCCTTCTTCGGCCACCCTGCAGGAATTTTTTTTTCCCTCCCTCAAACCTGTTGCCGTCGGAGCACTTAAATTCTCTCGACTCGCTCTTCCGTCTTCTCATCCCCTTCTACTTCTCCGTCCATCTCCGCTCATTCTTTTCTCTGAGGTTGATCTTTTGAGAAGAAACCCACAGCCAAGATGTCTGTTCCCGTCGAAAAGCAGAAGGTCCTGGGCATGCCGGTAAGCTACTACTCATCATCCCCTTCATTGTTACCCGAGGCTGCGGGAAAAAAGTACACCTCACCGGCGACGTCGCTTCCCTCCATCATGGGTCTACCATCAATGGCCATGGCATCTAGCTGTGGATTCCATCGAGATGTTACATGTCTCAATCTGATGGACTGGATTTGACGCGACAATGGTTTGCTGTACAGCTTATCGTCGCTGATGGAAGGACCGACGCGCCGGAGCTGGCCTACTTTGACCTGCCTTGGGATATCAATATCAACATCAGGATGAATCAATTTGCTAACTCTTATTTCCACAGCCCTTCGTGGCCGACTTCCTTAGTACGTTGCACAACCCATTTCGATACCGGGACTCGCCATCGTTCAGCTTTCCGACCTCGGCGAGCTGATCCCGGTACCGCGATAACCACAATGAACAATCACTAACAGCTTCCTACAGTGGGAGGTGTCTCCGCCGCTGTCTCCAAGACTGCCGCCGCTCCCATTGAGCGTATCAAGCTTCTCATCCAGAACCAGGTTAGTAAACAAAACCACCCAGTCAATCTGGACAGCTAGCCGGCCAAGGTCGGACCGGGTCACCCCGGTCGATAAGTCGTCACAAGATGACACGTGACCATGGCCATCTATGCTGCCAAAGCTTCTTCAGCCGGACTGTATCTAACAGCCCCACAGGATGAGATGCTTAAGCAGGGTCGTCTTGACCGCAAGTACGACGGTATCGCCGACTGCTTCCGCCGTACCGCCGCCGATGAGGGTGTCATGTCCCTGTGGCGTGGCAACACTGCCAACGTCATCCGTTACTTCCCCACCCAGGCCCTGAACTTCGCTTTCCGCGACAAGTTCAAGCAGATGTTCGGCTTCAAGAAGGAGCGTGACGGATACGCCTGGTGGATGGCCGGCAACTTGGCCTCCGGTGGTGCCGCTGGTGCCACTTCCCTGCTCTTCGTCTACTCCCTCGACTACGCCCGTACCCGTCTTGCCAACGACGCCAAGTCCGCCAAGAAGGGTGGTGAGCGCCAGTTCAACGGTCTCGTTGACGTCTACCGCAAGACCCTCGCCTCCGACGGTATTGCCGGTCTCTACCGTGGTTTCATGCCCTCTGTTGCTGGTATCGTCGTCTACCGTGGTCTGTACTTCGGCATGTACGACTCCATCAAGCCCGTCGTCCTTACCGGTAACCTCGCCAACAACTTCCTTGCCTCTTTCGCCCTTGGATGGCTCGTCACCACTGGTGCCGGTATCGCCTCTTACCCCCTTGACACCATCCGTCGTCGCATGATGATGACCTCTGGTGAGGCCGTCAAGTACAAGTCTTCCTTCGACGCTGGCAAGCAGATCATCGCCAAGGAGGGTGTCAAGTCTCTCTTCAAGGGTGCCGGTGCCAACATTCTCCGTGGTGTTGCCGGTGCTGGTGTCCTGTCCATCTACGACCAGCTCCAGGTCCTGCTCTTCGGCAAGGCCTTCAAGGGTGGCTCTGGCTAAATGCCTTTGACACTTCTTCGTGTATAAACTCTTCACTGGTGGCGGGTTGGGCAGTTGGCGAACACCCGGGCTGTGGGGATTCGTTACTGGTTAGGATCAGATGAGGAATCGGTTGATAAAATGGGGAAGATGGATGTTGCGGAGGGGCTTTGGATGCAGGCACCACAAGACGTGGCACGCCTGGATCGGCCAGTCCTTCGTGGTTTAGACTGGCATCGGCAAGGCGTTCTCTTACATGACCTGAAGAGCTTTGCTTGCTACCTAATCCACTGTAATTTGTACACTAAAGCAATTCCCGATTGCACTCGTTCACGCAACACCTGTCCTCGCTGGACTTTACCGGCTTCTGGTCGATCCTGGGGTGGATTTTCCTTGGTATTGCATGACGATAGACTTCCGCGGTACAATAGGAAGATTTCTTTGATTCTACGAATGTGTTCCCAACTTGCCTTTGACATCTGTGACATCATGCTAGCATCTAGAGGCGGAATTAAGCCAGATTCATTGCGATGCTGTTTGGCTGTTGCCCGCGGTTCTGTGATTGGCCAATGGCGCTTTTGTCGCTAGTCCGCCCAGACGCGCCTGCACTCCGCAGTGACAGTGACAGTCGCGTCCCGCTCCAAGCTCTAATCCTTCCCCCACGTGCTCCCCGCCCTGATCGCCTGATTCCCAGGTCAGATCGAATCTCGCCGCTCAGCAGATGCACCTCTGACATCTGACACCCTGTGATTACTTGGAGAAGTGGGCTATCACGCCGTCGACACGTGGAATTTCTTTGCTGTATCTGACACGCGCAGCACGACTGATCTGACGCCACCACCTTGATCTAGCTACTACTTACTACCTCGATGCAAGCATACCACCAGTCCCGAAGCAAGAACCACCAAAGACGAACAAGCACGAAGAATGCCGAGACAAGCAGCCGATCCAGCAAAGCGCGGCCGCCCTGGCAAAGCCCAGCAGCCAGCCGCGGGCGCGAAGCGGAAGGCTACGCAACAGCCGGCACGTAAGAAGTCGGGACCTTTCGAGCTCTCGGACAGCGACGCGCCGGCGTCGCGGGGCCAGCGGGAAGCGGACGACCCAGAGGAGGAAGTAGAAGAAGAAGGAGAGGAACAAGACGAAGAGGCTGAGGACGAAGGTCCGGACAATACGATACCGCCCGAGCTGCTGACGCGGCTGCTGCACGAGTTCTTTGAAAAGGACGACACGAGGCTCAGCAAGGACGCGAACTTGGCGGCGGGGAAGTATATGGATATCTTTGTGAGAGAGGCGATTGCGCGTTGTGTGCATGAGAGGCCTGGTGGCTTTCTCGAGGTTAGTGGCTCTTTGATTTCCGTGTCCCTTCATTTGTAGAGGGAACCTGTTGGCTGACCGGGTGATGATAGGTTGAGGATTTGGAAAAGATTTCACCTCAGCTGCTCATGGACTTCTAGCGTGGGAGTCGAAATGGTGGAAAACGACGAAATGATGAACGATACCCTCTTTCTTACACTACATAACATCCTACGAGGGACGAGAACTGCTGGACGATCGGAATTAAGAAACTGTTGGCCGTGTTTCTTGTGCATGTGTTCGTGTTTGGCAGATGACTTGCGACAACGAAGCTCACGGCTCGACGCTACCTCATCCATTTCCCTCGACGAAGAACGCTGCAATTCCGAATATCTTGAGGTGGTTGTCGAGCAGAGAGTCAACCACAAGTGAAGACCAAACCAGCCTTCCCAAATGTGTCATAGCATAGGCATGGAACATGGAGATCGGTGTCATCGTCGACCGAATCTCACAACGTTATTGTCGGATCTGCACAACACAACGTCGTGATCTTCGTTTCTTCATTCGCCTTGCGGCGGGCATGTCCGTGGAGAAGATACGAAGAGGGTCTTTCCCACTGGTTTCTTCCAAGACGTGAGAGACTGATACAGTCTGTCGGAAAGGCAATGCTTTTGCTCCGGTCGATCAGGTGGAGCACAGCCCACGCTGCGATGATCAGGCATGTGTTTACTACGACGCATAGGGAGACTGGGAAACACGGCCATTCTAACACCAGGCGCATCTGTCTTTGCCTGACGCAGAAGCTGAAAAATCAATGTCTGTGGACCGGCCTGCTTGTGCGCGGCGGAACTATGGTGTGTTATTACCGCAGCCCGGCCGATCAAGGGAAAGCGGATAAAAATGCCGGAAACCGGGAAAAGCTATAACAGCGGTAAAACCAAGCGTGAACGGTAGTCAACTGCCATTCGAAATTTTCGTTGCCTCAACATTGTAACTGAGGCAAGGTTCAGACGAAACGACAGGCTAGACGCCAGAGATGTCAAAGGCCCTGGAGTGGGATGGTCTGTCCAGGGGGCGCTGAAGGGTGTATGCTACCTAGATGAACAGAAATGGAAGAAAAGTCTGAGAGTACATCGCTTCTCTAACGTTGTCTCTCTTGCCCGTCGTGCCTGACCATCGGCTAAAATTGCACCATTTCGTTGTTCGAGGATGAGGCTCTTTACGTCTGGTGGGGAGGGGGGGAAAGGGCGATCTTGGGACGAAACGCTACGCTGACACACAGTGGACTTTGAAGCCATTGCTCGTTCGACTCTGGAATTTGGAACCTGGAACCTCTGTTCTCTCTTTCCCTTGGGTTGAAGTCTCCTCCCAAACAAATGTCCAAGAGACAGGTGTTTCTAGAGGACGGCGTGACAGCTGGAGAGCCGCATTCTTACGATCTGAGGCAATTGCTCTGGGGTTGAAACCAGTTCCATCAGGCGGGCCGCTGTCTTTTTTCGACTTGATGGAAAACCAATGACATGTCGTCTTTCACGAAGGATCTTAGACGGCACGGAACGTGACTTGTGGCTGATTTTACTACTTGTTCAACCAATGAAGTGTATTCCAATCTCATGGAGGACAGTTGTGCGAGTATTTGGGTTTGGTAATCTGTAGTAAATCGTTATGGGTACCTATTCAGAGGTGCCTACGTTGATCCACGTAACGATGCTCGAGTCCCTGCCACTCTTTGGTAACTTCGCAAATCTGCATGTATAGGAGGACTTTGGCTCCGAGCTGCGATTTGATGTGGCTTCATGACGATTCTGGTTTGGTGTCCGTGGGATGCCAAGGGCTTGTGGACAACTTGTCTTGGCCCTCATATTGTAAAGCCATAACTCGAGTTGTCACATACCCCTCAAGTTGAAGCATGACGGAATAAAGACGAAGAGATGTAAAGTACTACTCGGGGTCTGTTCCGCTCCCACTCACGAAAAGCCGCTGGCTAACTGCCTCGACGTATGAAGGCGGCATATGACTTGACGACTCGTGTGGTTGAGATATTACGCGTGACCTAGCCTCCTAGTTAAGTTGATACCAAGAGCACTAGCTCATACAGCATAATCGGACAGATCGCCAAGACTGGCTTTTCGAGGGAATTCTCAAGCCATGCCGACTTGGGGTTATTCAACCAGTTGCCAAGTAGCCGGAGACTCGAGTGAAGGGTCTCAGAAGAATTAGTCTCAGAAGAATTGACAACTTTCTCCGGTCCTTGGCAGAGCCAAAGCAAATAGTATCTTGGAGAGAAAAAAAAAAAGAAAGTTCCCGCCTTCGCGATTGGATCTGACCTTCTTGCTACCTTTATTTCCACTGGGATGTAGCCTGTGAGTGTAAAGAAAAGTCTATACCATCCATTGTAGATGCGAGCATGTGTTCGGAGAAGGCGAGTCGGACTCTGGTGGGAGGATCGTGCGTGTTGAAGAAAGGTTTGGCCCAATCTTCTTCTATTTCTTTTTCTTTTTTTCGCCATTAATCACGCAGACTCGGCGCCTCTTTTCCACCTTGTCTCGCGAAACATGAGTAGTTGGAAATTCTTGGCGATGGGTGATTGACACGGGTTAGCCCTGGACTCATTTTTGAAAAAGTCTATTTGTTTGCCCAGGCTGGCCTTGCTTGGCCTGGCAAGGTGTGTGTGGGGGATGAGAGGCGAAGAGGGAGGGAAGAGGAGAGGACCGTTTACAGTCTGGTACTGGTATGAGATCTAGGGTAGGAGCTGCGGCGGTGCATTGAAAGGAGAGTTTTTCATTTTCTGGGAGACGGGGGAAAGATGAGATGACGCCAGAAGGGAGAGAGAGAGAGAGAGAGAGAGAGAGAGAGATGAGTGGAGAGAAAAAGATCAGTAGAGCGAGAATAACCTGTCATTTCATCCATGGGCTGACCTTTCCACAATGACGAACGAAGGGGACTCTGACTTTTTCTCCCACAAAAAACCGTTGACTATTATTAGACGTCTTTTAGACGTGCGCGAGCGCGTGTAGGAGTGAGATGAGTGAAGAGGGGGGAAGCCGTACGGAGTAGAGTGTCATTGAATTGGGGGCTGATTGATTTTGATTTCACCATTGATCGATACCAGGGCCAGGAAGCGTTTCGTTTCTTCTGGCTTGAGACGGGGGAGTAGTTGTCCCGACTGGATACGTCAACTTGTCAAGGGAGGGAATCGTGACAGTCGTCTAGACGGCGAAACGCGCTGTCCAGCTAGACGGCGGGCGAAAGAGGGTCCCTCGTGAGGTATATCAGAAGGGTGGCTATATGACCTCCTTCGGAAGAGGCCATGTTTTTTTCCGTGAGGCTCCCCTGGAAACTTCTTGATATATCTTTGAGGCTGGGTGGCACATCATGGCAGGACGCGAATGAATGATCTACGCGGATGGAGGAAATGGCGAAGCGAGACAGGCCGATGGGCTGGAGGCTGAGAGGGCACGTGGGGAGGAGCAATGAAGAGCAAAGATTATGCAGGTGAAGATCCCAGGGAAACCATGTGCTTCCCAGTTACCGCGAACCGCGAACCGCGAACCGCGGCCTGCGATGAGTAAGGTAAGAAAGATATGAAATGAAGGACATACGGTAAGGATGTCAGATCTCAGGAAAGCGAATCGTGCGTACGGATATCTTGGCCAAAAATATGTTTTTGCCGCGGCTGGTGCTACTACTCAGAGCAGCATCGCCGTTGTTTGAGTAATAGTGCGAGACAGGGGAGGCGCTCTGGTCTTTCCTTTTTCTCCACGGGTTGAAGAGAACTCTCGTAACTCGTTGGCCGCGGGCACGAAGAGAAGATGGGAGGAAATGAAACGAGGAAAATGACAGGCAGGCGAGAACATCAGACGCCAATGTCTCCATTCTGCATTTTTGGGGCCAGATCTTCTGTGGCGACGGAGGGATGGCCGCAACTGTGGCAGGACGGGGATAGATTATAGTACGACTCTTGCTGCTGGGCGAGTCGAGGATTGTATGTGTGTGCCTTGATCGTTTGGGTTGAGGCTCACAGACCTGATAGGATGATGGGATGACTTAGACGAGCACTTGAGAAGTGGACGACGAGTGTGACAAAGCAACGGCGGTGCACCAGGGCGGGTTGACTAGTTTACCTGCTGGAGTCTTGAGCAGACTTGACATGGCCAAGGCGAGCCGGGGGCATGGATCGTTTGTTTGCTTGTGGTGGGCGCTTCATTTGGGAATCGGACAATTCTTTTTAGAGCTCCAGACTGGCGGATACTGGGGACAGGCAGACAGGGAGAGTGAGACGGTTGGGCAATTAATTTAGCCAGGGCAGAAGGGACGACGTCACGGCAACGGGCAGACTGGTGCATATTGTACTTAGTTGAGCGGTGCTAAGACTCAAGAGAGAGAGAGAGAGGCTGGGACGCAATGTGGTCCGGGACGAGGACGGAGGACGGAGGACAGACGGGAAAGGGTTAGTGAAGCCATGTCATCCATTAACCATTATCCATTATGATCCATGATGGAGAATTACCCATGATGGTGACTGGGTAAGTAAGATCCATGAAGTTGGGAAGCGAACGCGGAGGAGAATTGCAGAAATGGCGAGAATGAGATGGGTAGTTCCTGGAGGAAACGTCGAGGAACGGAGTGGATGAAACAGGGTACGTCGCGAAAGTGTCAGAGGGCTGAAGGAGAAGGTGAAGCACATCCGAGCGCCAGCCTCTTTTGGCGACCAGCCGGGAGTCTTGGCCAATTAAAACGACGATGAGTCGAATAAAGTGGAGGTCATTGACAGAAGGTACGGGGATACATAGGTACGGAGGTACTTGGGTGCCTCGGGTGGACCGTGCAGAGGGCCTCAACCTTATTTCGGCTTCGACGTCGTCCGACAACTTGAACAAGGTCAACTCGCTTTTGACACGCGCTATACTTCTCCGTACAGACAGACTACTCCGTACTCTCCCCGTGCTTCTCCTCGCCAGTCTCAACTTTTTTCTGCTTCCTGATCCTCAGCCAGTAATTTAGGGCTCTCCCCTCCTCCATCAACCGGGGGGGCGTGAGGCCTCGAGGATGCTGGCTTGTCTTGGTCTCGTTGCAGAGTTGCGCCGTGCCGCCGGGGTTCACCATTTCTCTCTCAGGCTCTCTCCTCCATGATCGATTAATCAAGACTCGTTGCGAACAT